ATTCACCGTAACCCACCAATACTGTTTTGTCGCGAAAACGCATTCACCGAACGTCTCCACCAATACTTTTTCTCTATTCTGAATACTTTTTTTTTACTGGGAAATTTCCAACTTAAAATGAGTGAAAAATGAATAAATTAATTAGAACATTGATTCTTTTTCCTGAATTAACTTAAGGAAGTTATTTTTTGTGTTTACAAAAGTAATTTTAAATTAACATTTGATTTTCATTTAAATAATTTACTGTTTGTTAATAAAATAATGAATAGCATCCAAATTTGCTGTCAAGCATAAACTGAAAAAAAACATATATGAAATGAATTTTTTTTATTCAACTGTACTAAAGTAGACGATACTAAAATGTCAATAATAATTGTATTTATTATTGCATATTACTAAAATTATTAACTTTTTTTTCTAAACTTCCTGTGGGGACAGGTAAAATTTTGACGTTTTTAGCCTTAAAACCGCTTATTTATGAAAAATTATAATATTAGATACAAAAGTAATTATTGGTTTTTGTTTTTAAACATATAGATAACCTTTTCACGTTGAAATTGTAAAAGTATATGAAAATTATTTATTATTTTTCCATTACAACATGAAAAAAAACCAAGTTCTGCGCTACGCGGAGAATCACCCGTGTATATGTCACATATTTGTGTTTCAGACATGCGAAAGGATATTTTCGTACTCGACCTGATGAGCTTCGTTGAACCAGATTGAATGTAATCCGGCACAGGTCTATGTGTCCTGGAACAAGTGCCCCTTTTCCATTTGCGGTTTTGTTTTGTACCGTTTACTATCTTATTAGAAAATAAAGTATCGTTAGAGAGAAAAAAAATTTCATTATATTGTTCCAATCTGTCTAAAACAGGGGTTGACCATTAGAAATTTTTTTCTTTTTAATTTTAATTTCCCGCCAAAATGTTTCTCTAATTATTATACGTGTAGACGGCGAGAAAACCTTCTCATAAACAAGATAAAGTGAATATATCAATCAGAAACTCGACGAGATTCTTCAATTGGATTTTATTTCATTATTTATAATTATAATAAAAATTATATGAATAAAATAATATAATATAAAAATAAATAAAATACCAACGAGTGAGAAGTTCAAATATCACTAATAATAATTTTTTTAATGAATAGTAAAAATAATAGTAGTCATTTAAATGATAATTGATGCAATAATTAACGTCTAATTTAATAAAATTGATACTAATTTAATAGATTAAAAATATTATAATCATTTCCCGAAAATAATAATTTTCATTTCTCATGAGTTGGTTCTCTTCTCATTAATAGCATGAGTCTGACTTCGATATTATTATATATTATGATGCATTTCTCTTAGTTCGATTGCCTCATTGAAGCTATTTTACGAGCTTACTAATCCCTCGTTTCAGTTTTTGGAATCTTAGCCTTGAAAATCATTTATATGAATTGGGTTTTCGAAGACTAAGTGCAGATATTGCTTCATTCAGGTCAGCTTGAAAATTGTAATTGGTTTCTTTACCCGACAAAATCGGGAACGCGCACTCTCGGTCCGAGGACGAGCTATCTTTGTTATTACATTCGTAAAATAAATAACTAACATTTTTCTTTCTTCCTTTTTCCCCATCACTTTCTTTTTGCTTTCTCATAGAGGAAGGATTGTATTACCCAGTAAAAAAAGAAGTATTGAGTGGAGCGTTTAGGAATTGAGTGAAGCTCTGAGCCAATACGCTCGAGTAAAAACCGTATTGGGACGTCTGACTCAATCTTTTTTTCATCCGCCGAATACGGTCTTATTTTAGCATTAAAATTAAAATCACATGAGCAGAGTACACATTATAAATTGAAAGCACAATTGTCCTGGAATGTAAAAATGCCGATTTCGATAAGAAGCAGTGAATATTTGTTAAAAATTGGTAAAAGCAAAGTTTGATAAGCGCGACTGAATTTACCATGTGAATAAATGAAGTGGTAAGTTTAAATGGACGAAATGGACTGAAAGAAATCTACTGTTACCGACAGAAAGTTCCTAGAGAATTGTGGTAAATTCAACAAAACAATGAAATTTCATTGTTTAACAATTCTCTAGGAACTTTCTGTCGGTAACAGTAGATTTCTTTTCGTCCATTTAAACTTACCAATTCATTTATTCACATGGTAAATTCAGTCGCGCTTGTCAAACTTTGCTTTTACCAATTTTTAACAAATATTCACTGTTTCTTATCGAAATCGGCATTTTTACATTCCAGGACAATTGTGCTTTTGAATTTATAATGTGTACTCTGGTCATGTGATTTTAATTTTAATGCTAAAATAAGACAGTATCCGGCGGATGAAAAAAAGATTGAGTCAAGCGTCCCAATACGGTTTTTACTCGAATCCGTATTGGCTCAGAGCTTCACTCAATTCCTAAACGCTCCACTCAATACTTCTTTTTTTACTGGGTAGCAAAATTTTCAATTGTGATTTTTTGACATACCTATTTATAAATTTTTTTCATTATACCTAATCTTTTAGTACTTTATGTACGAATGGGCACTGCCCGTATAAATGTTCTAAATAAGTAAAAAAAAATTTCGACGTATTTTGACCTCCGAAGTCCAAAAAACGGATTTTAAAAATTTGTCCCGATGTGTGTGTGTGTGTGTGTGTACTAACATTACATTTGCCTCAATATCTCAGAACGAGAAAGAGCTAAAGGCCTCAATTTTTTTTTAAATTGTAGGTCTCCCCGGGGGACATAAAATGAGAGTGTTTTCAGCCCGATTCATAAAGTTTAACTATATTTTTTTTGCATTTTTCATTTTGTAAAAAAACGTTTTTTGACCATAACTTAAAAAAATCTTAGGGCACCTATAAATGTTTTTCTTTAGTTTTGTAGAGTTTTTTCATACGCATCTTTTGAGCCTTCATTGAACATTTTTCGTCTATATTAGCCAGAGATTGGTATTTGAAAAATCAAAAATTGTGGAAAATATAATTTTGTCAACATTCTTGTTTATTAACTTATGTGTAATTATTAATTATTATTAATTCTTATATTTCAATTATTATTATTTCTATGAGGAAGCAAAGTGTTCATGAAATGAACATTAAAATTATAAAAATGTAAAACTTGGCAGCGGTTTTTACATCTCTGCAGTGCGAGGCGCGACTTTAGAAAAACTTTTGATTATAATGCACCTTATCATCTCATTCACACGCATCTGTGTATCAGAATTTTCACTATTTTTGCATTTCTTTTAAACAAAAAAAAACTAACCCTCTGTTGATGATTATTCTTTAATTTTTTAGGATTCTAAAGTTCAGAAGGTTTAAATGAATGAAATTTATTTATTTATTCTTCGAATTAAATTTTTAGACCAATAATTTTGCGTCACTATACACTGAAAATAAAGGTATTTGATTCAAATAACCGATTACTTCACTGTTATCAATTAAATATTTACTTTAATAAAATAATTTTTATTTGTGTCAATTAAATGGTATTTGCTCTAAAATACTTTAATTATTGGTTCAAATATAGTTTCTATGTTGAATTTGAAACAAAAATCAGTTTTACCTTATTTCTTCGGAGCGCGTCACATATTAACATTAACATTTATATTACTTTTTTCAATATAGGGGAAAGGTGTACGAGATGATCCCCCTAAGGGAAAAAACCTATTATTCAAAGAAAAATCAACATATTCGAGTTTTTTTACGCACTACAAGATAATTAATCTATCTAACTATTCTGATTTGAAATATTTGCAGCTAATTAATATTTTACTGTTAAATTTAATTTTTTTAAAACCTTACAAAAGGTCCAAAGATCCAAGGAAGTGTCCAAGATGATCCGCATGGTATGGGCAAGATGATCCGTAGGATTATCTTCCCCAATTATTGAAAAAGGAGTCTATATTGAAGGAATAACAGTGTATCAATGTAATAGTATATTAAGAAACAAGAGGATAAAAGCAGCCATTTCACAAAAATCATCGTAAAGAAATTGGCTGCCTTTATTCTCGTGTTACTTACGATATTTTTTATTCCTAATGCACAAAAGTGGCGATTTCAGATAGCAGACGACAGGGAGTAAAAGTCATTCACTTGTTCGACTTGTATGAAAATGGCGGCCGTTTTCTCCCAAGGGCAAGAAAAATGCATGTGAACAGCTAATTTTCTTGCCCTTGGGAGAACACGGCCGTCATTTTCATACGGTCGAAGAAATGAATGACTTTCCTCCCTGTCGTCCGCTATCAGAACGCGTCATTTTTGTGCATTTGGGATAAAAATTGAATTTTTATTAATACTAGAAAATTCACTTTGAGGTGAGACGAAATACATGGGAATCAGGGGGGATCATCTTGTACACCCATTGAGGGATCATCTTGCCCCAAATGCCACTATTTTGTAATTTGTTCGTAACTTAACCTATTCGAGCTCTGTTATTCCATAATACCAATCAGAACACTTAGTTGAAGATATACTGAAGCCGTGAGTACAAGAAACATGGAATTTCAGCTACTACAGCAAAAGTTATCTAAGCCCAAACTTAAGCTTTCCTTAGATCAAAAGTATGAAATTTTTATTTTTTCCAATAGAATTTTTTTAGTGACGCGTGTTGTCATAACAGTTTGACTGATTCATAGGTATGTCATTGGCAACGTATTACCGTATTTGCCTAAAAGGGGGATCATCTCGTACACCTTTCCCCTAATCGAAAATTTTATGAAATTTAAAAAATATAATTTTCCTAATTACATTTATAATTAGTTACATTTACAATTATTATAATCTAATTTCTTTATTATTAATAGTAAATAGGTAATAGAAAATAAAACAAAGATTGCTATTAAGAAAAGAATTGTTTGGCGGAAGTAATTTTTTGCAACAAGGAACAGCTATTAGTTAATTGTTCATATATAGTATAATTAAGTAACAATGTAATTGTTGCCTATTTTTCCTGAAGCTATAAATAAAGAAAATGTCTTCATTGTTTTTTCTTGCTTTTACAGAACAAAAAGGAAAAAGTTTGAAGAAAGAGGAAATAATGTTGGAAAAAAATTGTGTATTTTTCCTTGAACTTCAACGCATGAAGCACTAACAATATTTGATTGGGTTCAAACAATTTCCGGAAGGAAAAAAAAAGAAGAAGACGAAGAAGAGCAGAAATCCAATTTTCACGTGCTCGACGTTACACCGACGAGTGATTGGTGAGTGACATTAAAATTTTTATTATTGCAATCATTTTATATTGCGCCTCGAGTTAATGGAGGCAATCAACTCGATTAAATTTCATCAAAATTGTATTTGTAATTAATAATAAATGTTACAATTGTAATAATTTACGGTCAATTGTAAATATAACAATTTATTATTAATTGTAAGTATAATAATTATTACATTCAATAATAATGTAAATTATTTATTCAGAATATTTACATGAATAGGAAAAATTTGTTAATATCAAGACAAAAGAGAAGGTGAATTTGTGTTTCAGAAATTTTGAATGACACACTCTCTAAATTTGAATTAGTAAAAATGTTTACTAATTTGAATTAGTGACGGACTTTTTGGTTTTGAATTAGTAAATTATTAACTATAATAATCGTCGTATTCATTCATTCATTCTGTCCAGTCTGTCCACACCTGAAGTTACTCATGATTATGCTTTTGTTTTTTTATATGTTTTGATAGATAATATTATACTTCTTTATTTTTTCACTATTTTTGCTTCCTCGTGAGGAAGCTTTGTAGTCGTTTAATTTACAAAATTTTTAAAAATCCTTTTAACAAATTTTCTTCTGTATAGGACTATGTTATATAAGACCCTGAACAATTGTCCGGATGTATGTATGTGTGTGTGTGTGTGTGTGTGGATCGCGATTTTTGTGAACACGATAACTCGAAAAGGTTTTAACGAATTTGGCTAAAATTTACCAGGTATATTTATCATAAAAATATCTCGAAATGGATTGATAGACTTTATAAAATTCTCAGAAAAAATTTTTTTTTTGACTTTTTTCTAAAAAAAAATTTTTTAAGTTGGTTATTGAAGTTAATATATAATAAAATCTTATTCTTTGCATCAAGACGAATTTTTTTTGCTGGTCGTAAAGAGGAAGCAAAATGTTCATGTAATGAACATCTGGATTTACAACTTGTTTTAATTTAATGATAGGGGAGACTGGGGCGAAAAGTTAAATTTTGCATAAATGATTTTTTTAGACAATATAATCCGCTTAGATGCAAATATTTATACATCAATATTGTAGGGCAACTTGTCCCCTACAACTTTCAATAAAAAAGTTTTTGATATTTTCGCATACAATACATGTTTTGTCCTTTTTTAAAAATTTTGTTTTTTTTAACTTTTCGCCCCATGCTGGGGCGAAAAGTTAAATGGATGGGGCAAAAAATTAAATTCTATTTTTGTCTACTAAAACTACTTTCTGATAGGTGTTAAGTAGTAGATAAGTTAAAGTATACGTAAACAAGTAATTTCGTTAATAAAAGATCTTTGTTTACTTAACAAAAGCTTTAGAACAGTTACAAAGTTAATAAATTGAAATTTCACAAAAAAAAAAAAATTTTTTGGTTTATTTCACGTGAGCTGTCTTGTTTTTTGATAGAGTACTTGCCTAATGTCAAATAAATCATTTTTAAACAAATAAACCCAAAAAAACGTAAAATAAAAAAAAAATTTTAATAACATGTAAAAATACATTTAACTTTTCGCCCCAGGGTGCGTTTTTGGCTTTAACAACAAATATAAAAAATCTGACTAAAGATATTTAGCAAATACCTTTAGGTGTCTCTTCAGGGGACCCAAATAATGAGGTAAAAAAATCGCGGTGAGAATAAATGCAAAAAATATACTTACAAGTTGATATTCCCTTTTACGAAAAATTTTTAAAAAGTAGGGTGAAAAAAAAATTAAATATGGACACCAAAAAAATTAGCAGAATGTCACATAACTCCGGATATTTATTTAGGGTGATAACACCCTTCTATAATTAAAATTGCAATGCTCTAACTATTTCCGTTCGAAAGATAATGAATTTTAACTGTTTTCACAATTTAACTTTTCGCCCCAGTCTCCCCTATTATTTTATTTTCTTTAGAAATATTTTTATTTTTAAAATAATTCAATAATATTTTTATTAATCGAAAAATTATTAATGTTATTTTTCATTATTTCCTTTATTTCCAAAAAAATAAGCACTTTGTAACAAACATTTTAGACGTACTTAACAAATAATTGTTATTTTTCATGTAAAATATTTTCCTTTTTTCAATATGAAAAACGAGACGCATGCTTATTCCCGAAATCTTTTTTGACCAAATAGTGATTTGATATAAAACTACTTAACTTAAAATTCACATAATATGCACATTATTTGACATAAATTTCATTGTACACAAAAACCATTTAACATATATATCATTTGTCATAGAATTCATTAAACAGAAATATTATGTTACATAAAACTCAGATAACTTAATTCCTATTTGACATAAAAATTATGTAACATAAATTTCTATTGACATAAAAATCATTTAACATAAATTTCTTTTGACATAAAACTCATTTAACGCAAATTTTATTTGTTATAAAATTCATTTGACATCAATTTCATTTGACATAAATGTCATTTAACGTAATTCTCATTTGACATAAATATCATTAGACATAAAATTAGCTGAACATAAATTTTCATTTGACGTGAATATCATTTAACATAATTATTATTTAACGTAAAATTAAATTTATATAAATTTCATTTAGCATAAATGCAATTTAACATAATTCTCATTTGACATAAAATTTACTTGACATAAATTTCATTTGGTATAAACCTTATTTAACATAATTTTTATTTGACATAAAGTTCATTTGATATAAAAGACATTTAACACAATTCTCATTTGTCATAAAAGTCATTTAACAAAATTCTCATTTGACATAAAAATCATTTCACACAAATTACATTTTACATAAAAATATCGGCGCCAATTTTAAAAGTAACCAATTAGATATTATCAACAACATTGTGATTTGCCAATTTTGAAATTCGCGCCTATATTTCTATGTCAAATGATCTTTATGTAAAATGCAATCTATGACATCTGAATTTTATGTCAAATGAGAATTATGTGTAATGACTTATCTGTCAAATAAAATTGATATCAAGTGAACTTTATGTCAAATAAAAATTATGTTAAATGGGATTTATACCAAATAAAATTTATGTCAAGTATATTTTATGTCAAATGAGAATTATGTTAAATGGAATTTATGCTAAATGAAATTTATATAAATTTAATTTTACGTTAAATAATAATTATGTTAAATGATATTCACGTCAAATGAAATTTATGTCAAGCTAATTTTATGTCTAATGATATTTATGTCAAAAGAGAATTACGTTAAATGACATTTATGCCAAATGAAATTGATGTCAAATGAATTTTATAACAAATAAAATTTGCGTTAAATGAGTTTTATGTCAAAAGAAATTTATGTTAAATGATTTTTATGTTAATAGTAATTTATGTTACATAATTTTTATGTCAAATGGGAATTAAGTTATCTGAGTTTTATGTAACATAATATTTCTGTTTAATGAATTCTATGACAAATGATATTTGTGTTAAATGGTTTTTGTGTGCAATGAAATTTATGTCAAATAATGTGCATTTTATGTGAATTGTAATTTTATATCAAATAACTATTTGGTAAAAAAAGATTTCGGTAAGCATGCGTCTCATGAAAAACATAATTGCTTGACAAATTAAAATTATAAATACAGCAATTTTTTCAAAAAAATTAAAAAATTGTTGGGAAATTAAAATTAGAAAGTAGAAAATATTTTGCACATTTTTCGCTTCTTAATTACAATTTATAAACAAAGTACGTAAGTAGAAAAAAAAGTTATAAATCAAATTCTGTTTAAGAAATTTTTAATTTATTTTGGTAAAAATATTTACAAAATTTTCTATTTGTTAAAAACTATATTTATCGAAATAATAATAAAAAATAAATAAATAAAACAATTTCTATTTTATTAAATAAAAAAATAAATAAAAGAATTTAATTTTAAATCTGTAAAGTTCAATTATTGTTAAAAATAGGATGAGTTTGAAATAAATAAAATCTTTTCAATGCTAAAGAATATAAGAATGTACGTAGGACAAAAAGTCCAATCCAAAAAATCCACACTAAAATATCCAAGAAAAAGAATCCAAACTACAAAAAATCCGAAAGAGAAAATTTTTTTTAAAAAGAATCTTGTTTGTTTATATTATAATTGAAAATTTGATTTTTTAATTTTATTTAAATTATATTGAAAATAATTGAATAATTAATTATTTCCTTAATACATAAACAATAAAAATTAAATTTTCTCAAGTACTAAAAATATATAATTTATTTGAACATTCAGAAATTTTAAATTATAAAAATTTCAGAGAAGTATAATTATCTATACAAAATGAAATAAAATGCGATATTTTAAAAACAAATGAAAACAATATAACTTTTTTTTATTTGGTGAAAAAATTCCAGGTTCTGCATAAAATTCCTGTCTTATTCCCTGTTTTTTCCGGTCAAATTAAATTCCCTGTTATTTTGTACTTTGTAACTTTCACATTTTAAAATTAATATAGAACAATTAAAACGACATTATACTTTATAATTTTGAAAATTTGGATTTTTTGATTTGGACATTTTGACCAAGTCATAAAGTCCAATCCAAAATTCCAACATAAACTATTTTTTTGGACTGCATTGAATTTGGACTTTATGTCTTGGACATTTTGGTTTGGATTTTGTGTCCGCAGGTACCGAATAGAACATTCAGAATATTCTTGTGAATTTTTGAAATTAAATATTATTTTAGTACTTTTGACAAAATTTCCTGACTTTCCTGAATAAATTTAGAGAAATAGTGATTACGTACGGGTGCAGGTGCTACTACTTTAAAGTTAATTTAAAATTCTATATCAATCAGGATGTTGTTCAGCAATACCCAAGCAACAACTCAGGTCATTGGCAGCCAATAGAAAAATATTTGAATGAGAGAAAATGAATTTTAACCTCATTTTTCACTAATTTTGATTGTCTGATAGCGTACGGGTGGGGGTGCTACTACTTAAAAGTTAATTTAAATTCTATATCAATCAGGATGTTGTTCAGCAACACCCAAGCAAC